GTTGAAGTCCACCATCAGGTTGTGTCCTGGTTAGCTCTGACTGTCAACCTAACACAGCTGAAAGTCGCCTAAGAAGGGAGTCTCAGTTGATGGATTTCCCAGACAGGACTGGCCTGTGGATGTGTACACAATGATAGTTACTTGATGTAAAAGGGTCCAGTCCACTGTGGGCAGCACTGTCCCTATGCAGGTGATCCTGAGTTGCATGAGAAAGCTAGCTAGGCATGGGATGATGAATGGCACAGTAAACAATAGTCCTCTGTGGTTTCTGTTGTACATTCCTACTTGGGTTCCTGCTCTGAATTCTCTCAATGAACAACAATGACCTGAAGTATAAGCCAAATAACTCCTATGCTTTCTAAGTTACTTTGATTAGAATATTTTATCACAGCAACACAAAGGAAACTAGAACAGAATGCCATCATGGTCAAGTTCTGATGAGAGTCTTCTACATTGCAGGCTCGTAACTTATTGCTGTGTCCTTAGATGGTAGAAAGGGGGCATACTGGCCTCTGACTGTTAAGGGCAGCAATATCTTTCAGGGCTCCACAACTGATTTCTCTCCAAGGCCCTTCCCCTGAATATCATCACACTAGGGCTTAGATTTGAGAAGAGCCACAGTCTACTACAATGGCCAAGATGTGAACTTCTCATGAAACCACCAGCCCAAAGGTCCAAATGAAATTCAAGATGACCTAAGTATTCAGTGGTGAGTGCTTTCACAGAACCTCCACGGAACTCAAGAGGCATGAGCTCAGGGCTTAGAAATTTGGGCATGAGCTTCTGTCTGGCCTTGAATAAGTAGTCTCTTCCTTCCCTGGGCTGGTAATTGTCAGTTTAAACATCACAGTCTCATAAAAACCTTCCTGTACCCAGAAGCACCTAGTATGGATTTCTGCCAATATTTTACACTCTAATCAGATTAAATTTTCTCTCTGATCTCTGTCCCCTCCTTTGATAGCTCCTTCGGATGCCCTGAGCCTTACACAGTGCCTGACACAGAGGCGAGGAAAATAAGAATGGAGAGATAAGAAATGAAATTGATATCTTAATGCTATGGTCAACCAGTATATCCCCAGGGTGTGTTTACATGTTCGGGGAGGTAAGGGCATTTGTTTCTCTTCAATTATATAAAGGCTTAGATCTAATTAGATTAAATCATTTATGGACCACTACCTATTTTGCTTATTCTATAAGGAACAAAATGTCCATGAGAATATATAAGAAGTAAGCCTTGCCCTGCCTCTCAAAGAAATGGGTCTGGCTAAGGAAAAGTAAAATGTGTTTGATAACCAGGACAAAGGAATAGAACTCTCATGAAAATGCTGACCTCACCTGTGTACTGGAGAATCCAAGCAGCCAAGTGTTCTTAGTGGTAGCCTAAGCCACACTCTCTGAGAACACACTGCACAGAGCAGTGACCTATCCACCACGTAGACAGCCAGCCAAGTTGCATGAGACCAGTGGAAATAAGCCAGGCCCCACTCTGACCCCAAGTCAATGGCAGGATCTCTTTCCAGTTTGAAGTTGGGTTCAGGGATTACAGGTTCTTCCCAGGGTAACCAGATAGTGTTATACAGTCCACATGTGTACACCACCCACACCGTACACACATAAGGAACCAGAAGGATTCAATCCCAGAATACACAAAAGGTCAAAGAATGCAGAAGAATTCAGATGTGAAGACATCTCCTCACTTATAAACCAGTGGGTGATAGAAGAAGAGATGGTCCATTCAAAAAGAACCACCGTGTATATGAACATGCCAGGCCATGTTAATAATAAAAAAACCAAAAATCAAACTGGAAATATATAACCAGCACTAAGTTACTGTTACTTGAAGTAGAGAAAGGCAATTCTTCCTTTGGTACTTAGGAGTATAGGGAAGATACAGGAAACGGATGGATAAGAAAGAAAATGGACAGAAGACATGCCTTTTGTGAAACTAAACTTTATAGGCCTCAAATGAGGCTCTATCATGTGAGTGAGAGGGAGGGTGAGGGTGATGTTTTAAACAGAACAAACAAAAGCAACCGTGATCTGCTGTCGGCTGGGCAGGGAGACAAGGACAGAGCTGCCAGCCTGGCTGCATTGTTCGAGAACGCTGGCAGGTACATTCATGCTAAATGTGTTATAATTGAGAATCGATACGAGGCAGAGTCAGCTTTAAATAAATTCCAAGGCTTACCCGAGCAACACCGTTAATGTCATGTTGCATTTTATACAATGGTGTTTAGAATAAAAAGCCCTGCATTTGGGTCCTGAAAACCATTTTAAAGAAATATTTCTACAACGCTTAGCTGCTGCCTTTACTATGGAGCAAAGACTCTTCAGTTGGGCTCATGAGACTACTATAAGGCAGATGAGAGCCTGGAGCCTCTGCCTTCATTGTGTACCCGTGCTCTGCCTGAAGGCACCAAGGTCTTGTCCTTGACCTCTCTTCTGGAGTCACCTTGCGTTCCAGAAAGAACAACACTTTACAGACAACTCCCACACCCAGATGAGGAAAAATTACCTAGGAGGGCAAGGCTGCACCCTCAGCCATCACAGCTATGAAGTGAACAACTTATCCCAACACCGGGCTGAGCAGACATGAGCTGAGACCGTGATGGATCAGTGAGAGGCAGGACCACAGCTTGACCAGAGCTACCTAATACACAGACCTCTTGTCCTTTATTTACATCTTAACCTTGCGCCCCTCTCCTAGAGTTGGGATCTCTGTACATCTTTATCTGTTGTTTCCCTTCCCAAAGCGGCAACACAGAGCTCTCTCTTCTTCCCTACTTATCTCTTTAATTGGTATATGGGAGGCTGTCTAGCAACATTTTTGGTAATGACATCTATAACCCCAACATTTAGTCTTCATGACAACTCTCATCTTACATGACAGGAAACAGCCATTTGGCTCTAAACTATGCAGAATAGCCAAGAAATTGCTGCCAATTTCTAATATGGACAGATAGACCAAGACACTAGGAAAGTCCATGAGCAACATTTTCAAACTCATAGGGAAGAGTCAAAGAGAGCATCTGCAGCTAAAAATAGGAAGGCCAAGGGACATTAACCCTTTCCCCAAAGTCTCATTTCTAAAATCTGATAAACACAGGATATATTGCATCTCTATTTGTCTCCTGTGTCAAAGTCTGTAAATGCCACACATGGCCACTGAAAACAAAATAAGGCATTCCACACATAAGGAGGAAAGAATAGGATCAAGGACCAGCCAGGTGAAGTATGAGTTTGTGTGGAGAAAGAGCAGGAAGAGACCAGCAATGGTCTACCTGTGTACAGCCTTCATGCCTGTCCAAGTGGCACTGGCTACAGACAGCTGGGGACCACAGAACTGTGGGATGAGAGTTTTCTCCTAAGTTGTTTTGTTTTGTTTTGTTGTTTTTCCTGGAGAAACAAAGCAAAGACAATGAAAGGGACTAGACAGGGTAGTGAGGTTAACAAATGGAAAAGGTAAAAGAACACAAGAAGGAACTCTGGAGAAAGAGAAAATAAAATTGTAGGGCAGTCAAATGCAACATTGGCATCATGCCCCTCCGAAAGGCCAGAGATAATCACAGAAGAGGGGTCAGAAAGATTGTGAGAGCCCGAGTTGAGGGAAACAAGCACAAAACAGTGTCTTCAGGACATGCAGGACCATTAATTGCACTCATGAATTCATAGCAACCGTGGCTGCTTCATAAGGACCTGCACAAGATCAAGTCACCCAACATGATGCAGTATGGTGTGGGAAGGGGTTGGTAAGCCTCTACCCACTCCCTGTCTGAGGGGCAATGGACTGGTGATAGCTTCAGGGACAGGAAGATTCCATTTTCTTTTATGGTGTGGCCCTTGGGTTAGGCCATCCATGCTCCAGTGGATAGTCCCACAGCCATGAGTGTAAGGGCAGCACAAATTGGACTCAATGAGTTACTTTAAAATTACATAAAAGGAGGAATGAAGTCAGAAATTGAGCAAAAGGAAAGTGGGGGTAGTTCTGGAAGCAGTAAGGGGGTGATGGGAGGATGAATGAGATCAAAATATATTGTATAAAATTCTCATAGAATAAAAAACATAACTACTTTTAAATTCTAAGGCTATATTAACATGGGATCTCCCAGAAAATATGCATCACTTTCTGAGTGGAGGGCTTCTAAATAACACAGTAACATTAAATATTCACCAAACACTATACTAATATACCAATGGGTAAATATTTCAGAATGATCCATCCAAAGGGAAAGGGGCGGACACCATGGCTAGAAGCACACCCATCACCGTCGGCCTGTGCCCTGGTCCTCAATGGGTGCTCCAATGGGTATGTTGACAGGAATGGGTCACCTATGTCAACACAGCAGCCAAGCTTCACTTCTTTGAAACACAAAGGCCAAGACTCGATGATAGACCCAAAGTAAAAGGCTGAGCAGGGTCCATCATCTCTTTCTGTCACTCAGAGGATGGGGCGGGTAGCTCCAAGCTGGAGTTCTCAGTCTGAGATGCTTAAAGAAGCACCTACACCCAAAATCCATGTTCCCTGGGACATGTAACCTTCTGGGAGCCTCATAAGGTTTGTGGCAGGAATGGGTTAAAAATTCAGGAGCCTGGACACTCATATCATCCGTCAGAATCTCTTTACCCACTGGAAAAAGCAGGTGTCATTATTGTCATTACAGAATTGGCACCAAGGGGCTGCGAATTAATACCTGATTCTAAGAGAGCTCATAAACTTAGTTTTGCTTTCGTTATAAAAATGGCATTTGCACACATTTGAGTCACTTTGCCTTTAGGTTATGCTGCGAGATTACAGAGTCCTTAAATCTTAAATAGATTTTAATCTGGTAACACAGTTACCTAAACACACACACACACACACACACACACACACACACACACACACACACACACACACCTTTCCCTTCAGAAGAAACATGAATGCATGTTCAAATTCATTGGATACAATTCTATATATTCCCCCTTTACATTATTTTAAATTCAATAAATGGGACAGATACCTTCCCCAAGTCAGAAGAGAAACTGGATCATTTGATGTACACCTGCTCTTTCACCTAGGTCCGAAGCTGGATGAGAAAACTGGTCCCAGACACCCTTCAGTAACTAATGCCATCCTTTCCCCAGTCAGCACTCAGAGAAACCCTGCTGAATTCCTTTTCTTTGGAGCCCTTTTCAACAAATGCTATGTGCCTTTAAGAAAATACAGACTCTCTGTCCCATGTCTGGCTGCTTGTAGAGAAGTCTTAGTCTTAAATGAATTCAATGGAATGATGGGCTGTTTGTACTGCCTTGGATCACTTCACTCACAGCTGTGAGAGTCCAAATGGAGCTGGGACCATCTCTGCCCCCACACAGAATCATAAATAAAGGCTGAGCCTTCTAGAATAGTGGAATACATCCCCTCACAAAGCCACTCAATCACCCGTGCAAAGGAAAGGAATGCCCCAGGGTCAGGCCCTGAGAAGTGAACAAAACACACTGTATAAAAAAAATTAAGCCCATTTCAGTTCAGCAGTCATTCCCCACATAACAGCACTTGTATGTGATTTATTTTTAGAGTAAAAAGCCAAGTTATTTTCGTTTATCAGAGCCGGAGTCTTACACACCCAGCTGTTGAGTAACACTTGTCAAAGATGTCAAAATGTCTTTCAACATTTAGACAGCCACCTAGCTATTATTCCTGGGGGACACGTGGCTAGCTGAAAGAGTCACATCTGGCAGATGCAGAAATAGAAAAAACAAACAATAGGTACCTGTGCCGAAGCCACAGCTCTCATTGCCTGATCACCCACCCTGGCCATCACACCACTCTGCACCGTGAGATACCCAGCCTTCTCTTCACCTTAGCTGCTGACAGTGTGGGCTTTCTCTTTCTGGCTAACCTTCTGATTCCTTACCACATCTGCAACCCTAAACTCTGTTGATATTAATTCTAGCTAGGAGTGAAGAACTCAGGGTCTCACATCCAGTCAGTCCACTGCACCACCACTGTCCAGGAAAGCTGCATGACTGTCACCCTTATTTACTGAAGCCATCAATCCAGAGCCATAGCTGTTTATACCAAGAGAGAGCATCGACATCCAGACAATTGCTAGGAAGGAGAGTGTTGACCAGAAGGGGTGATAGCCCCTGTGGGACTATGAATGAATGCCTATATAACTATAATGTTCCTTAAAGGATTTCTATTTTTGTTTCCACAGAAAATGAAAAGCTGTGGATTCCTTCCAGACTAATGTGGTTTGATCAAGCCAGACCACCTGAAACAGAGTACCAGGTGATCCTACATTCAAAACAGCTGGACAAAGCAGCCTTACAGACTACAGCCAGGATTTCTACATCATCTTAGAATCCCCCATGACAGCGCCCCTTACCAGCAGGAAGTAGTTTGGAAAGAACAACACCCAAATTCCCAAATATTGTCTATAAATGTTTGTTTTCATTTAAATGGACTTGGATATATAAAATAAATAAATAAATTTTAAAAAATTAAAAAAACAAAACAAAACAAAAAAACTATAAAGTTCCTTTTACCCTTTGGGGGCTGCTCTACACATCAGTCACCAGGTCAATCGGTAGACATAAGAAAGGAGAGCAAGAACAGAAGGACCCAAGAGAAGTCAAAATGGAAATGTTGAGCCCAATTAATGACCAAGAAGTAAATCATGGACCAACCAACTGCAGGCAGTGCAGACACAGCCTTGAACTGAAACAGGAGGAGAATGGTCTTCCTTCTCCTCACAGGGGCCCTAACTGCAGGAGGTCTGGCAAGGCCACAGCCTCTTCCTTGGAGGCCCCTGCCCTTGATCCACCTCAACCCCCCCCACACACACACCTAAAAGGCACACACTAAGCTCATCTCTCCAGTAATAACCATTTATAAATTAGCTGGCTCAATCTCTTGGTTAGAATAGTATAGGAAGTTAGTATCTGGGGATACTAAACACACCACAGTGGATCAGAAAGTTCAACACAATAGTGACCAACCCATTCTAGCAAAATGCTAATAGCACTCCTTACCCTTTGAGAAAACCTCCCCCAACAGCCATGGAAGACAGAAGAGAAAAAAAGAAGAGAAGATAAATGGAACCTCTATAGTTAACCAGCAGCTTCCCTATTATGACCCCAAATAAGGGAACACATCTCTGTAACCAATTAACTCTAACATTGCTATTAAAAATCCCCTCTAAAGCGGTCAGAAAATAATATCAGATATACAGGTTAGTGACAGAAAATACTCAGGAAGAAACTTACCATGAGACAAGCAGACTTTTATTAAACCTGCCAGGCTACGCTCAGGGTGGAAAGAGAATACAGCCTAGGGAAGTTGCAGAAGTGAGCTATGTAAGGAATAGGATAGGGCAAGGCTTGAGGTTAGCTTCTCAGGTCCTGACTGGCTGCAGGTGGAACACAGCTAAACAAGGGTATGGGGATATGCTAGTTTGGTCTGGAACAAAATCGGGAATGTGGAAGATGACAGGTTTCATCTTCCAGGGAGGGGTATATCTGTGAGAGGAATTGACACCCTCCACCATCTTGGAAGCGACTCTTAGGTAAATGCACTGAGACAAAATGGTGCCACCAATGTTAAGCTCTGTCACTCCTGCCTTGAAGTCATTAGGAATAAAGTGACATTTTCCCTTCTCTAGCTACTTCCCATGGACTCCAGATGTAGTACAGGGCAAGGGAGACTAAGGAATGGCGGGATCCTTCAGTAGTGATTGATGCCCTCTGGTCATGATCTTTGTCACCCCTTATTGGTGAAGACCTGTATGTGCTCCTGGAAAAGATCAAAAAAGGCATGATCCAAAGAATAGGACCAAAGTTATGATAGTGAGGGGGCCTCTCGGGGTAGACTCCAGGGGAGAAATGAGCCAAAGAAGGTGCAGGAAGACTGCTGGATTTGGAGTTGCTCATCTAGTTTTCTTGCCCACTCCACCCTCGGCTTAGGTGTTTCATTCTGAACCGGGACTGACTGATTAGGGAAGAAACCGTGTTTCTTCCCCCAGGGCTAAGGAGAAGTCATCATTTCCTGTCAAGATGAGAGCCAGGCCTCTGCAGTTTTGGAAGATCATCCCTACCTACCAGGGAGAGCAGCTGTTACAGTTCTGGGTCCTGAAACAAATGTCTAGAATGGCAAGAAGGGGGGTGAGTTGGAGGGCCCCTTAGTCCCGTCTTTACAGGTCTCCTGCCCTGCCTTACAAGTGTCGGGGAGCATACCCCTTTTAACTGCTTCGGGGTGACAAAAGGGGTGATGTGAAAAGGGCAGCAGTTAGTGTGACTCCAATGAGGGTCCACCTGAGAGGTCACAATAAGACCTAACAGATGGCAAAAGCCTAGCACACAAGACAGCCTGTGAAGCAGCAGTATTCACCCTTGGAGGGCATTGCATGCGGGAGTAGCAGCTCCAGCACACAAACGTGGGACTATTAGGGCCTATGTAATTCCTACTGAGAGCACAGTTAAGAAGAGGTAGGGCAACTCTGTCCTTACTGAAGGAAGAAAACAACCAAGAAAACCGCAGAAGGAACCCGTGGTGGCTTTGCCACAGGGGTTGGGAAGACTGACAACTTTTGTCACTGTTGCCAATCACAAGATGTAAAGTCATTGGTTTGGTAGACTTAAGACATTTTTCTTTGGTCAGCATAAAGTTCAGAACTGACCATCGGGTTTCCTCTGTAACAACTCTGTGGGGAACATTAAGAGATGAAGTTAATGAGGGAAAAAAATGTGCATCGCGATTGAGTTTTGATTAGTGAGGTGAAATATAAGCGTTTAACTGGCTGGACCATGCACCAGAGCCCTGGAGAAGGCTAAGGTAACTGTGTAATCGGCAGTTTGTGTGACAGAAGTCACTTAAGCCAGCTTCTTTTATAGGATTGTCTAGCAAAGTTCCAAGGACAACACTTGGACATCTTGAATAATTTCCCGGGACCCGTGAGTTTAATAACAGTATCTGGCACCCTCCTTCAATCATGAACACGGACGGTTAAGATAAAGAAAGACACACGGCAGCATCTGTGCTAAGTACTCTTCCAGACACAGTGCTACAGTTAGTTAGTATAGCTTTTAGATTTGGCTTCAGTGTTTAATAAGACAGGTCCGTATCTCAGCTGTGGACAAGGAAGGTCTTGTCTTCTTTATGTGTAATCAGGAAGAGAATCATTCCTGAGAAACAGTTGTTCAGATAGCATTCCATATAGCTAAGTACATGTCTTAGGGTTGCAGTTTGTTATAGAAACAAACTGACCATTTTAATCTTGATTATACTTTCCTGTTGAGTGTTGAAGATCATGTAGGTGGCCACAATTAATTTTTCCTTTGGTGCTCTCAAGGCCAAATGATGGCAGTCCTAAGGAGTCACTTGGGATTGTGAAAAATCTGTGATTCCGCAACCCTTTTTTACTCTTGTCCATCTATGTGAGGATAAGTCAAAGGTCTTGCTTGACCTGGCTGTGCCTTCCCTGGGAAACATTTCCCTTGGGTTGACCATCCTCTTTGTAGACTTGATGTTGGCTAGGATTCACTGTTGGGGTCTCTGTGACCCACCCCTGAACAAGAGAAGAGATGATTTTCCACAGACACAGAACATTTCTAGAGGTGGTCCACAATCTCCTAGAACCTCATTAAGGAGGAGAAAATATTCTCCCTTTCAGTCCCTCTGGCCACATTAGAACAACTGCCAAGTATGGTTATTAAACACAGAAGATCAGTTCTACAAGTTGATTCTTATAACTACTGAATAATATGTTAATAGCCATAAATTTTAAAATAAACTTTGATTAGACATACATTTTAGCCAGTTTTTGAATTTTTTTTGGCCTTAGAAACTTTAAGTCTCATGCCCCACGTCCCTTAAATAACTTACTCAGACTTTTATAACTTGCAAAAGCCCTTCCATTTTTATTCCCATTCTGTAAGCATGCATTCATCGTAATATTCACATACAGATCTTTTTCAACTAAATCAATTCTTATATTTTTTCATTTGTAACTTTTTAAAACTTCTTAATACCGTGAGACATTATAGCATTAACAAATGAATTCACTATCTGCTGAGAGAATTTTCTCCCTGGGGGAGGTGGGAAGCTAAGCAATGTCTATCCTCTCTTAGTAGGTCCAAATGACA